TGCTGGGAAGGTCCCTGCAGTGTGGTGGGATCTGTGCTGGGAAGGTCAGTGCAGTGTGGTGGGATCTGTCCTGGGAAGGTCACTGCAGGATCTGTGCTGGGAAGGTCCCTGCAGTGTGGGATCTGTGCTGGGAAGGTCAGTGCAGTGTGGGATCTGTGCTGGGAAGGTCAGTGCAGCACCCTGGGATCTGCTGGGCTGGCTCTGGCACAGGTCAGGCCGAAGGGAAGGGTTTTCCAGATGCCTCCCTTGGCAGGCAAGGGGAGCTGGGGGAGAGCTGAGCTCCGACTGCTGGGAATTCCTTTAACACCTGCACCGCCTCTCCCGTAGGTTATGCCTGCCGGAACATCTCCAGCTCCGCTGCCCTGCAGGGTGAGTGAGCAGCCTTTCTGTGCCCTGATTTCACTCCTAAAATCCCCTGAGCCCGAGCTGATAGCACCTCTGTGTTTGTCTCCAGCCAGGACCCATGTAAGCTGCGACATCAAAGGGGACGTTGCTGTCGTGCGTTTCAACACGCCGAATTCCAAGGTATTCCGAGTGCCCGCTTCAGACTGAGAACTGGCCTGAACTGCAGCCTTACAAAGCTGGGAGCAAAGATTTTGGGTGTTTAGTGAGACATCTGGAAATGCCTCGTGGAATTCTCTGTGTGTGTGCTAGGCTGACTTGCCTCCGTCCCGGGCACAAGGTCTTAGGAAGTTCGAAATCTTAAAGAAATCTTAAAAAAAATTCTAAATCTTATTAAGCTCCAGGATCCAAGACAGTTGAAAAGTGTGTCCATACTTCAGCAATTTGGAATCCATAAAGGCTTTTGGTTCTCTTATCATGAACACGATATAAATAGAACTAATTTTCTTTTTTTGGGTCAATACAGCTGCAGTTGCTTTCAGGTGCTGGAGGGCAGGAACCTCTGTAAATGACATTTAAGGAGTCCATCTAAAAATGTGTGCTGGAGTCCTGTGAGACAGTGGTGAATTTCAGGTGTCATCTCACAGATGGAAATGTTCTGTTATGAAGCAACTGTGGGGCTTTTGATAAGAAAGCGTTTTTTAAAGCTAAACAGCTGAGCTGCTCTGATACTGCACAAGATACAAAGATGTAACTGCTCCTGCTACGAAAGATCTTGTATTAATTGTAGCAGACCTGAACTTTTTATTTTAATATACACCTTCCTTCTGAGGAGCAACAACAATCCCAGCTTTGGAACATCCTGTTTTATGAGAGGGTTTTGGTGGTGTCTGAAGAACCCAGGCTGGATTTGTTCTGCTGGTTGAGGCTGGGGAGGTGCTCAGCCTGGGCTGCTGGAAGGTGTCTCTGCTCACTGCAGGGGGCTTGGATGAGATGACCCTTAGAGGTCCCACCCAACCCGACCCTTTCTGTGATTCTATGATTATACAGGGAAAAAAAAACCAAAAAACCAACAAAAAATCAGTGTTTGTGAGCTCCCTGTGTGTGTGATTTGCTCCCTGCAGGTGAACACCCTGTCGCAGCAGCTGAGCGCCGAGTTCACCGAGGTCATGAACGAGATCTGGGCCAACGAGGCCGTCAGGAGCGCCGTCCTCATCTCCTCCAAGCCGGGCTGCTTCATCGCCGGCGCCGACCTCAAGTGAGCACAGGGGCTGTGGGGGAGCCCTCCCCGAATCCCAGCATCCCTGCCTGGGGAGCAGTGAAGTCCAGCAGTGTGGCCCTGCCATCCCTCCCCGAATCCCAGCATCCCTGCCTGGGGAGCAGTGAAGTCCAGCAATCTGGCCCTGCCATCCCTCAGGGTGGGGCAGAGGGGCTGGGAGGGAAATCCACGTGCACAGGGTGCCAGAGTTGCTCACGTGGAATGAAACCTGGACAGAGAGGGATGTGGAGAGTCGTTCATTCAGCCCCCCTCGGGCTGTGGCGCTTGGTCACTCCCCTGCTTTGTGCTGGGGTGCGGCCAAGGAACCCCATCCTGGCTCCAGGGCTGGGCATTGTCCTTCTCCCTGGGACACAAGGAGCGAATGGATCATTTACATGCAGCGCTCGTTCTAGCTGGGTTGGAGTGCCTGGCAGCCCTCCAGCCTGGCCCCTCCGTTGGACAGGCTTTGGAGCTCTGCCCTGTGCTCAGCAGCCTCCCAGGCTCCCTGGGCGGCTTTTCCAGGGTGTGGGATCATCCTGTGGGTGCCCACTGGGACCTGGAATGCTGGTGGCTCCTGGCACTGGCACTGGACGGGGCAGAGCAGTTGCTCAAAGGCATTAAAAGCCAGAAAGCTCTGAGGAAAGAAGGTGAATTACCAATAGACCCCCCCAAAACCTCGTTCCCTTTTCGGCTGCCCTTGCCCAGGGGCAGAGACCTGGTCCCTGTGCAGGTGGGAAGGAGGGGATGGGTAGAGCTGGTGAGCAGAGCAGAGGCCAGGCCGTGGTTCAGAGGGGCCTGCTGGCCCCAGCACCTCCAGCCTCCCAAACTGCCCCTGCCTGGCAAACACTGCTGGTCTCCAGGAGGACAATTGGCACGGGGAGTCTCTAATTGATGGAGTGTGGCATCAGAGCACTGGCCATCTGCTCCTCTAAAAAGTGGCAAGCGTTTGGAGGCTTCCTCTGACCCTTCCTGCCCTCCCAGAGGCTTTGAGAGCCCTGGCAAAGAGTCCCACTCAGTGCCACAGGCACAGCCCCTGTCAGTGGGCAGGGCCTTACCCTGCTGGGCTTGGCCTCCCCATGTTGTCTGATCCAAATCTGGGGCCTAAATAGCTCTCACCTGCCTGTCAGGCACTGGAGGTTGTGGGAAAAGAGGCACAGAGTCGCTGAAACCCCTGGTTTTCCTGCTGTTGCTCAGTGCTTGTCCCGTTCTGATCCCTCTCTCCCCCTCCCCAGCATGCTGGAAGCCTGCAAGACTGCTCAGGAAGTGACTCAGCTCTCTCAGGAGGGACAGAAGATGCTGGAGAAGATCGAGCATTCCCCAAAGCCCGTGGTTGCTGCCATCAGTGGCAGCTGCCTGGGAGGAGGCCTGGAGGTACTGGGGGCTCTCCCAGCAGGGGTGGGAGCTGGCGGTGCAGTTCTGTTGGCTGTGCAGGGGGTGCCGGCAGGGCCAGCGCTGGGAGGGGGCTGTGGGGCCTCAGGAGGGCTCCCAGCTTCGTGCAGATGAGTCTGGGGGGAGTTGATGGCCAGGCTGGTGTTGGGATGAGTGTTCCAGGGAAAACCGACCGTTTCCAGCAGGCACTGGATCTGCACCAGCGCTGCTGGCAGAGCCCAGGCTGGAAATTGCTGCTGTTCAGGTGGAGTGAGTCCTGTATCCCAGCAACTTCCGTTCTCCACAGGGTGGCTGTGAGAGGGGTGAGTGTGGGGGCCCAGCCAGGCTCCTGCCTGCCCCTTCAGCTGGATCCAGTGTTTGCCTTGGCATCTCCATCTAGGATTTCTGTAAACTGAGGGGGCTCTGGTAGTTCCTGGAGCAGAGTTGTTACTAAAGCAGAATAACCTTGGAATGGACTCTCCTTGGTTTGTGTGGATTTCTCAAGCAGTCACAGCTTTGTACACACACTGGGGTGACACATCTGGATTCATCCAGGGATAAACCAGGAGTCGTGGCTGATCAGTAGATGGGACCATGCTGTCAGTGTAGTGAATTAACACAGCCCTTGGTGCTCTAGGTGAGATTTAAAACCAGCCTGGCTCAGTTTGGTGGTTTCATGCTCATCTCCCACCTGTTTGCTGCCATATCCCAGAAGGAGCCATCAGTGAGCACAGGGGGATTGTGGGCAGCTGGATTAGGGAACTGGGGTCAGGAGGGAGGGTGTAGGAGAGAGCTGTGTGCTGGATTCCCAGTTCTCCCGTGGTCTTTCCCAGGGAAACCTTTGCTTGTCTCTCCCTTCCTAAAGGTCGCCATCGCCTGTCACTACAGAGTGGCAACAAAGGACAAGAAAACCGTCCTGGCCACGCCTGAGGTGATGCTGGGTCTGCTGCCCGGAGCAGGGGGCACTCAGAGGCTGCCAAAGATGGTAAGTGAGAGAAAAAGCTTTGCCCCACAGCCCCCCCGTGTGTGGCCCTGCTCCCACTCTGCCGTCCCCTTCCTGCCCTTCCAGGTGGGACTCCCCGCGGCCTTCGACATGATGCTGACCGGGAGGAACATCCGCGCCGACAGAGCCAAGAAGATGGGGCTGGTTGACCAGCTGGTGGAACCCCTAGGTCAGACACCACACACGGGGATGCCTCTCGCTGGCTGGACGTGCTGCCTTGCCAGGGAACCTCTAACCCTCTCCAAATGGGATGGGGGAGCCGTCGGTGCAGAGGGGGCAGAGCTCAGGGGGTCCCTGTTCCCCCGCTTAGGGACACTGTTCCCCCTTAAGGACCTGGAAATGCCAGGCTGGTGCTGCTGCTGCAAACAGGGAGAGGTCAGCCTGGAGGGCAGGCTGCTGCCTGTCTTGTTAAAGCTAATTGTGCAGATAAGGGCCCAGGTTCCTCGTTTGTCATGGCAGGGGACAGATGGCAGCCCCTAATGGGAGGATGGTGGGTGAGCGATGTCTGCATTGCTGCAGATGGTAATCTGGGAGGAGATCTGCAGAAGGCAGCCCCCCCTGCCTCAGGCCTCTGAATTGCCAGCTGGCTGTCAGCTGGACAGAGGAATTCCTTGCAAACTGCAGGATTCCAGGTGCTGAGCAAGCTAGTGAATAATTCTGGTGTTCCTTTGATGGAGCAGCTTTCCTGGAAGGTGACTAAATGGAGAAGTTTGTGAGGGCTGAACTAGAGAGAGGACTAAACCCTGCAGAGCCTCCTCTGAAAGGTGTGAGCAGCTCCACGCAGGAGCTGGAATGAAAACCAGTGGTCCAGCTGGTGCTGCCCTGGAGCTGCAGGGTGCCTGAAGGGGAAGGAAGTAAATGAAAAGATGGGCAATGCCAGGGAAGCCCTTGGGTGTGGTCTGTCCCACCTGCCAGAGCTCAGCTGGGTCACGGAATCCAGAGTGACCTGGGTTGGAAGGGCCTTTAAGGCTCATCCTGTCCCACCCCTGCCATGGGCAGGGACACCTCCCACCAGCCCAGGGTGCTCCAAGCCCCGTCCAGCCTGGCCTTGGACACTCCCAGGGATCCAGGGGCAGCCACAGCTTCTCTGGGTAATCTGTGCCAGGGCCTGCCCACCCTCCCAGCCAGCAATTCCTTCCCAATCTTCCATCTAACCCTACCCTCTGGCAGTAGGAAACCATTCCCTGTGTCCTGTCCCTCCATTCCTTGTCCCCAGTCCCTCTCCAGCTCTCCTGGAGCCCCTCCAGGCTCTGGAAGGGGCTCTGAGCTCTCCCTGGATCCTTCCCTTCTCCAGGTGAGCCCCCCCAGCTGTCCCAGCCTGGCTCCAGAGCAGAGGGGCTCCAGCCCTGGCAGCATCTCCGGGGCC